GGACATCGCACGAAACCTTGGTCAATGCGAATACAGCTGGCACATCATCATTACGATGCCTGCCCTATCGCATTGAAATTCTGAGTTTGCCTACGAGTATGGCAAGCTGCAATACTTGCAGTTCTACCAATTCCTCTTCAGATGCAGCCTGCTGGGTAAAAGAGGAAACCCGGTCCTGCTCCGTAGAGAAATTGCAAGGATACAGATGTGGCCGTACATCTTGTTTGAGGAAGGGGGCCCAACCAAACGATATTATGCTTGCACAAGGTCCTTGTGATGGTTGCACCAGATACTAGAAGGACGCTGGAATGTAGAGGTAGGATCGTGATGCCCTCTTGTTTATGCATAACTTTGCACAAGAAGGCTAGGGCCTGTTGTTCTCCCATGGTGTTGCGAAGCCGGCGCAGACGATGAGGCGGAATCAGGAACAACTAGCTCGAACAAAACAATAGCTCCTAAGCTTTACCAGCCACATAGGCCTCCCACATGATGTCATGATGTCTGTGGCAGCTTGCACACTCTTGGCCCCTACCTTCAAGAAGACATGCCTGCACACTGCACACTGATGCTGCAGGCGGTGCTGAGACTCTCTTTCCTCCCATCTAATGACTAAGGCTTGCTCTCGGAGTAACATCCTTTGAAGCAGGCAAAGCACTTGCTTTAGCTGGATGGTAGGACTGAACCAATGGTTGCGCACCTGCTAGCAACACAAAAACTCCAGGAAACCTGTATGCTCTTCTTACAGGCCGAACCAATTCTGCAGAGGGCTAGACTAGCGTAAGAGAACACGCAACCGGTTCTTGATGACGACGTTTGATCACTGGTTGAAGCATCAGTTGCGTTAGATTCCTCCCAAGATCATACCCGCTGTATGTCGCACCCGAAACAATTCTTCTGTCGAGGTCTTTAGTGAGCGGCATTTGCAACTTGTGGTGACTTTCAGCGGTGGGAGCGGCACCCGATCCAAAGGATCGCCCGTGCAAAAGTCACGAGACTGCCAGAAGCTACATTAATGAGAAATGGGAAGCAAGGAGGAAATGCAAATCATGTGGCTTATCTTGGAGCCAAGGAGCAGAAACTCAAAAGCTCAGTGTTTTCGCAGTCGGTGACATCGAATCCACTGGGGAGCCCATCCTCCGAGGGGATAAGATTGTCCTACGCAGCCTGGGAACGCTGTTGAACATGGCCTCTTTGCGGGCGATGCTGCATCCTGACTTTATTAATGACGAAGGCAAATACAGTAGCGGCACTGTGCTTAGCGGAAACAAGAATTATCAATAAAGGATCTGGCAACAAAAAAAATCAGCAACTAATCAAATTTCATGGGTGGCCTTGCCATCGCCTAAGGCATTCAATTTCAGTGAGTTCGCATTTGCCAGGGTTGATATTTGTTCTCCTCTCGCTGTCCTGGCCGCAAGTCGGCACCGCGCATTGAAGGCCTGGTCCTTGAAACATGCCGCTGCTCGGTTGGCACACGTACTCCTCAGCAAAAGGACCACAGCAGTCGTAGGTCTTTTGGCAATTCGCCTTTACGGGGGTCTGCAGCGCACTCGATGGATCGAAAATTGGCCACCAGAAGCCCAAAAAGTGTTGTTTGCGGCCGAACTAATATGTAAGGGACTCCAACTGCTCCTGGATGAAGTGCGTGACGTAGCACTTTCTCAAAGGGTAGGGTAGCCTGCTTCGCATTCACAATAAGGATGCTTGCTAGAAGAAGGGGGCCTGCAAAACATGCAGATAGCATGACTGGCATACCCCCTGAAATTGCTATCTGTCTGGGCTCCACGGGCCCTCCCACGAAGCCAACATCGCCTTGGCTTTGCAGATTCAGCACAAACAACGGGGAAGGCACAAAGGAAGAGAGAAACAGGAGGAGTGGCGGCTGTGGGTGGGGGAGCGACAATCGAAAAGGGATCAAAACTTTGAGGGTCAGGCTCAAAAAATACAAAAGATCAAACAAAATCTGAGGACAAATGAACAAGGGGGTTGGGACCAGCCCCCCGATTTGCAAAACAGAGAGGGAAATGAGAACGTGTATATTATAAGAAGACCACCTCCACTGAAAAAACATTTGCCACACTTTCGGAGAAAAACAACTTCTAGCCGGACTGTAAGCCGTAGGGGTAATAGTTAGCATATTAGAATAGTAACATTACTGATTTTTACTATCAACATAATAGTCGATAAAAGTGAGCATAACAATCATCGGAATAATCATACCAGTAACAGTGTTGTTGTTTATGTATGTCTTTGTTGATTTGTTATTTATTGATTTCCCTTCTTTCTGTGTCTCTTTGATGTTGTTTGCACTCTTTCTTTCTTTGTTCTTTCTTTGTTTCCCTTCTTTCTGTGTCTCCTTGATGTTGCCTTCACTCAATATTTGTCCTTGTCTCCTCGATATTTCGTTCATTCTTTCATTCTTGGTAGACTTCCAGGGTGCGCTGCATATTTCCCTTCATGGTGCCCAGGGATCTCAGACCAGGTTCTATTCACCCAGAACTAAATCATAAGCTGCAGTTTGCAGCTCCTGCCATCCCGAGATCGCCCTTAACAACACATCACCGCCTTGCCATCAGGGCACACGAAACGTCACATCTCTGGCCATTCAGTTTGCCCTGGCAGTCGGTGTTGACAATGCCTTGCCGAAGGTCGAAATCGTTTCGGTACAGATCAGGCACGATGTTTTGGGCCATCTGAGGTCTACGACATCAAGCTTCCAGGTGCTCTGTAGAAACGATGAACCAGTCAGAGTGTTGAGCAATTCTGCAGCAACACACTGTAGCGCTTCTTGAGTTTACCCTGCCATGGCGTTCGAACGGGTAACATAACTCATCATTCAGGCAGGTGACTGCTTGATGCTACCGGGTCTTTATTGTCACTATCACATGGTCGGCCAGCTCAGCCTTTGACAGTCTTGCCCTCATCGTCTCTTCCACATGTTGCTCATGTCTTGGGCGGCTTGGCGAAAAGCAGGGGGGTAAAGCTCAGAACGGAAAACCACTGTACGGGACGGCCCAGGCCCGTGAGAAAGGCAGACAAAAGTGCACTGTGCACGAAGAGGCGGCGCGAATTTGCCGGCATGATATCAATTGTTGCAGATTGCCGCATCTCATAGTTAAATCAAAACGGGATTTAGGTACGCTTACGCTAGAAGGCTGGCCAGACCAAAACTGGGGTCTCTCTCAATACAGGGGGTCTGGGGAGACCCTGCAGACATATGAGGCCTGTCAAGGGACTACAAAGTCCTCATAATGCTGCTATGAGAGCAATGTGAGAAAAACATACGGTTTAGGAGTATGAGCCTCTTACGTGGGTCCTTGGCCTTGTTAGGTGGATTCTACTCAGCAGGTTGCCTTGAAGGTGCATATGAGGTATGGTAGTATAGTACATACACAACGATCCCAGGATTAGGAGACGACAATAAGAGGGCGCCTCGCCCAGTTGGCAAGCCCCCGCTGCACTCCACCAGCTCCGTATGCGTGGTGGTGAATGTGGAAGTACCTCGGATGAGCGTCTTGCAAAATCATGGGACTTAGGGGCTATCCGGGGACGACGAAGGGATCATTTGGGCATTGATGCGGATTGACTCGGGATATTTGAGAGAAACTCACAGAGGAACGTCCTACTTGGTTTGGCCATTTGGCCCAGGGACAATCTAAAGTCACGCTAATCTAAATCCCTCCTCCGTACATCTCCATACCTATGTGTATGAGGTATCCCTGCGTATGCTTAGGGGTCTTTTTGGACATATTTCTGCCGCAGAGTCCGCGGTTCTTCAGGGCAGCCTGGGCGCTTGTAATGAGGCGACAGACCGGAAGTGCACCTGTCAGGCTTGATTATTTCTCCCAAGCTAACATGAACCTGAAAAGGGGCTTGACTGTGTGGGATTCCATGTGAATTTGGCTGAGGGTAGCTAGTCCTGAGATGATTTCCTGGGCGTGGGAGATTCTCTCATCGGGCTTACTCTGAGGACAGTAGGGGTATGAACGAGAAGGAGAACGTAGGGGTCCCCCTTAAAGACTGGAGAGGGAATATCAGAGACTCACGCTTAAGAATCTGATGTGCGTGGTTTCTTCCGGGATTGCTGCAAAGCCTTTTGGTCGTCAAGAAACCTGCCACATCGTCGGTCCAAGACACGTAGAAAACAATCGCCTGCATGTTAGGCGCTTCTCAAAGTAGGGGTGCCCCTGGAGACTCGAGACCCATTATGGGGATTGATTACAAGGGGAATATGATAGGGGTTGGACATACATGGGAGGGTCAGGCCCAGGATTTTATCACCACAAAATCCTTGGGGCCTGACCCCACAGGAAAATAAATCTCTGGGG